ATATATTTAATAATTGCGCCGGGTATTTAATGTTCGGCTCCGCCCGAACTTAGACTTTCTTACTTGTTTTGTTCTAAAGTTCATTGACCTCAAGTGCCTCGTTCTAGTACATACCTACCCACTAGATCTCAGTTCTTACCACCCTAATGTCGGTAAAGTAGAGCTCGTCAAAAATCATTAAACTTTTGCTAAGGAAGTATTTCGATTATTCCAGTAGAACTAATTACAAAAAATTTTCATTGCCGAGTGTAGGTGTCACCGAAAAATGTAAAAAGGCCACAACTAGGTTCGGCCAAATATACATATGTAAATGTTTTGTTTTTTAAAGTCATTTATTTATAACCTGTGCGTCGGAGCAAAGGATTTTTTTCATCGCTCCGTTCTACCTCCGCTCCGTTTTTATTCATTTATTTCCATATCGAGCCCTAACCGCCAAAAAAACGTAGGCGACATTTTTTTTTAATTTTCTTTTCGATGCAGATGTTCTAGGTACACTTCAGCATCCAGAAGTAAATTAAGAAAATTCCCAAGTTAATTAGATCGAATGGAAATTTATTTAACACGGTTGTTTTCAGTGGCAAAAAATTACAATTTAAGTAAATTTATTAACTTAATATTTTTTTTTTAATTCTTACTCAGCTTCTGGACGTGGATATTGAAAATTTTTGTGGAAAAACAACAATAAAAATATTTCAAAATAAATCGTTACCAGGTCAGAAAATAACAAAAGCAAAATATTGAAAATTTTTCTTTAAGGAGCTAAGGAGCAAATGAATTTTTTTAGCTCTTCGCTCCAACTAAAATCCTTTGCTCCTTAACTAACTTAACTAATGACTGTGAAAATGGCTATTATATTACACAAATATGTATGTTTGAATGACTCCAGTGCTGCCAAATCTGTACTAACACCAACTGTTCTTCACATGACTTCTTACACCACCCAATTAGTAGCGGAACTGTCATTAAATTGATTATTTTGATTCCAACTATGATTATTTCAAGTTAAAATCAATATAATCAGAAAGATATACAGAAGTAGTTATAGCTTCGAAATAGAAATAATGCTGCTTAAAGCAGACAAATAAAATTAGCACACAAATAAGAAAATCAGATAGTCAAAAGACCGAGTCACCCGCAACATATTTCTTATTAGATTAGCACCTTATTATTCTATAAGTACATCTGAATATGTATGTACATTGTAGATATGTATGAATGCTTCATTCAAATTCAAATTATTTTGCTGCGCTCTGTTTACTTCGAAAATATGCATGTGAGTTGTGTGGCGAGCTTCTTATTCCTTATGCTCCTCTTACTCCTCTCTCTGTATATGCCTACCGTTAAGAAAGCAGGCAGTCAGTCATTACTCTTGTGCTCTATCCGTAGCGCATAGCTTTGCAGCACGTTTTATTGCTATCAACAAAAGTTTTTTTCGGTGGTCATCGCGGTCTGCTGGTGGCACGTTAATCAAAAAAAGTGGGAAAAATGCTTATAAATAAGTAAGTAGTCAATTTCCGCAAGTGAGCCAATGCGCACGCCAATGCAAGGCGTTTAATGAAATTAACGAAACGAGGCGTCGCGACGCCAATGAATTCCACTAATACTATGTATAAATGTGTGATATGTTGGTTGAAAATCATCCTGTAGAGAAAGTCTATGCTGCCCAAATGTTGCAGTTTTAATAAAATTTGGAAAGTTTTAATATCTTAATGAAAATTATGCTTTTGAAATGAAATGGGTCATTTGAAAAGTCCCTGTGGATTTTTGTCACTATGTGGTGCTGATGTCCATACAACTGGCCACACTAATCCTATTGCGTCAAACTAAAGGGCGTTTTGAAAAGACAGTTTTCTGTAAAACGTCGCTCCTCTAAAAAGTTATATTGCTTTAAAATCTGCGGAAATTGGGAAATATCTGAAGAAATACGCTATGTGATGCCCTTTTATTATAACAAAAAAGGGGGAATCGTTACAAAAAATGCCGAAAAATGTATAAAGTGTATGGTGGAGATGCTGTTAGTGAAGAGATCCAGGCGTGATTTGCTCGACTACGTTGAGGAAATTTTGGTGTCAATGATGCACCTTGCTATGGTCAGCCAGTTACTGGAAAAGGCGATGAAACAGTAGGGGTATTCACGATTTAGTGGATATGGTCTAGCATGGTGCATAGATAGCATAGATAGCATGATTGTTGTTATTTCATGTATTTAAACAACAACAAAATTAGCCAATCATGCTATTTATGCTATCTATGCACCATGCTAGACAGTATGCACCGGATCGTGAATACCCCTAATAAAAATGGTTGAGCAAGAGGGACAGACGTGCTAGCTGTCAGAAGATCGCGGAGATACTAAGCATCAACTACATGACGGTTTGGAATCATCTAAAAAGTGCAAGCTACTCAAGGAAGCTCTGTATTTGGGTGCCAATGTGTTAACGCAAAGAATTGAATTATCATGAGTAAAGGCAAACAGGGTGTTTGGAAAGATTTGAAGAAAATTGTCCACTATGAACTCCTACAACGTGGTAAATCGATCAATTTGGACCTCTACTGTGCACAACTCGACGGTTTAAACTAGGGATGCACGCTACGCTGCACAGTGGTTCGGATCGCGAATCTAGCTCGACGAAACTATTTAAACAAATACTCGTTGATGGATCTTTACACCACTTCTTACCTAGGGGATTTTTGAGTCGCTGATTACGAATCTGAAGTCACTTATCAAAAATTCAAAATGGCGGATCCAATATGGCGGACGAAAATTAAAAAAAATCGGTAATTTCTATGAAACCGGGTATCTGGGGGTTTTATGGGTCGCTGATTACATATCTAAAGTCATTTACCAAAAATTCAAAATGGCGGATAAAATATGGCGGAAGAAAATTTAAAAAAATCGGTAGATTTCTATGTAACTGGGTACTCTTTCATAACCAAAGGTTTTATAACTCCAAGTATTTTTCTGTTTTAACACACAACCCTTCCCCCCCCACCCCCCTCTTCCCCGTGGATCCGCCACTGATCTTATATTTATATTCAGATACATTCCTGTTAATAATTACTTTTGAATTTTGAGATTTGACATACTGTCACTAAAATGTAAATATCTAAGCCAATTGGTTAGACTTGGTTATCGAACTTACCCTCTGCATTTGCGAAGGTGTAAAGAATAATATGCAAGTGGTTTTATAACGGCCTTCGGCGGCCTTTACTTTTCCTACTCTTTAATTTAATTTTTTAATTAATCAAAACGACGATTTTTCAGAATAAATTTGCTTATACCAATGTGGACATAAATTGCGTTATGACCTCTGAATCTATAGCGGAATAAGTGTATTTTTTTGTTTATAAAGTCAATTTGCAATTATGCAAATATTTGTGAGTGCAATTAGCAATCTTTTAAGTTAAATTTCAGCTTTTAAAAAAGAGTTCTCAAATAGGCGGCGTTGACTCACCTTTTTTCGTTTGTTTTCATATGTTAATGCTTTATTAAATGCAATTTCTATTTGAATGTATTGTCAGGAATGTATTCCAAGTACCATTAAGTATTTTAAAAACAAAAAAAATGTTGACTTTCGTCCAGCTAGATCTGCTATCCGAACCACTGTGCGCTGCGGTTAGGTTATAAATATTGTGTCATCTGTTACCCAAAAGCCGAAATACCTACACACACATACTATTTGTCTCCTTCTCTCACTTCCAGCACATGCACGTGTTGGCAAAATGATGGCGAAGTGATTTTGTATGGAAAATCATTTATGGCCACATATTTGAATAAAATAAACATACCTACTTAGAAGATATCAGCCAATACTTCCCATATACCAAACGAAAGGAAAAATCTTGAATTTTTCATTAAAGAAAACAAAATCATTCTAGCGGTTTTCAAGTATATTGGTAATAAAAAAATTTGCAAATATTTCAAAATTTGTTTGCCTTAAAATGCTCAAATTTGTAGAATTTATATAAAATTTGTACACGATAATATTTCTATTGCTAAAAAGAACCTATACCCCGAAAACGAAAGTTATATCTGCAAATCATAAGTTGCTAGAGCACTTTAGAGGCTAAAAATTGACCCCAAAATAAGCCAATATTTTGGTGACTTACAATAGGCTTGGGGAAGATCGGCCGATCTCGGCAGCCGGTTCGAAAACGCCTTAACTCAGAAAACGGCTCAAGAATGCCCTACTACCGAATTTGGTTTAAGACCGCTCTTATTTCAGAATTTGATTGAAAAACGCTATATTTCAGAATTTATTTCAAAAAGGCCTATTACCACTGAAAATATATTGAAGATATGTTGATATAGGTCGTTTTTGAACCGAATTCTGAAATTTTGCGTTGTTCCACCACATTCTGAAATAGGGAGTTCTAGACATTTTTTTGAGAAAGAGCGTTTTTCAACTGGCTGCCGAGATAGGTCGATCTTCCATTCAGCCGTCGATAAGCTAATTCACACAAAATCAATATATGCAATGACCTCTTTGCTTAAAATGGGCGTAAAATCGACCAATTACATATGTGTATCTCGGTGACCAATTTATCATTTTATTCCAAACTCGGTACGCAAAAAAGCAATATATTGAAAATTTTTGAAATTGGTCTAAAATTGACGGTAAATTTCAGAAATACTAAAACTTCAATATTTCAATCACTAAAGACGCCAATTTACTCCCCAACTTACAACAATCTCTTAACAACAAACAACATTACAGATTTTTGTAAAATGGTCGTGACACCACCCGATTGCGACTACATAAGTGAATATCGATAACCGCTTTATCGATCTCCATCAAACTTGCTCCAATTACTAAAATATCTCATAGCATATTATCGAAACTCTTTGAAATCGGGATAAACACTCCCGCATATCATGTAGTTTACTGAACGGTGAACAAAATCAAAACATATTTAATTTGTGTATTTTTTCTACTGCAATTTTCGCTTTTACATATTTCTAGCTACCATAATTTTGAATATTTTTTTTCTTTCCTTACCACTTTCATTGACCTGCGTGCAAATGCCATCCACATGAATTTCAAATTTTTCACAACATTTATTCACATAAACCAAATTCGCATCATCCGCAGCGGCGGCGGCGCTATCCTTAGTAGTGGTATGCCTTCGCTGCAATGGGCGTTGCTCTGCTGCGGCAGCTAGCGCAGACACCTTCGAGAAAGCTAAACTTTCGCTAACACCAACGCCACCGCCACAACAGCGTCCGGCAGCGCAGACTAGAAGAAGAAGCACGATACAAACCAGTTGCCGGCTAAATGTAAATACCGGTGGAAGATAGCATATGCAGAGGTTACTATTGTCGTTATTTCTATTGTTAAAAATAGTATGACTGGTGGTACTGGTGCTGCCGCCGGTGGTCGGAGCATGGTGGGAGTTGTTGTCGTCGTCTTGAGCGCCGCCGCCTTTACGCCAGCTGCGCCGCTGCTCGCGTTGCTGATTTTTTTCGCCCGGCTTAACAGCAGCTGTAATTGGTGTTGTTGTTGATGTTGCTCTTAATAACGATGATGATGATGATGATGACTGTGACGGTGTTTTTGGTGGGGGTAGTGAAGCTGCTGCTACTGGTTGTACGATGCGCCTCATTAAGTCGTTCATGTTTGCGCTCTTTGTTGCCTTTATTGGTGTTGTTGTTGCTTTTGCTGTCGTCATCAACGTCAGTGATTCAGTCACTGATCGCGCTTAACACAACCACCACCACCACCACCTCTACCACCACAAATACAGCTCAGCTTTGATGACGTTGATCGTTGTATTATACCTTTTCTAGTAGATACTTTTTGTCGCTGCGTCACGTCGTTTTTTTTTGTTTTTTTGTAACACGATCTGTATGCGGCGTTCAATGGCGACACAAATTGTCGGTTACGAAATATTTGAAAGGAAATGCTGAATTGCAAAAAACACAAAAATTTTTTTAGCTATTTGCTGGTATTGGTGTTGGCGTTGCTTAGATATTGATTACGCTTCCTACATACAATATTTGCTAGGTGATCTCTCCGCTCCTCAGCTGGTATGTGTGCTCGACGTCACCGTTTGCTTGTTGTTATTCGTTCTCTATATTCTTTCGATTCACCTTGCTGTGTCATCCACGAAAGCCGGTTTGTTGGTGAGCAAACCTTTTTTTTTCTTTTGAAATTTCCTAATTGCCCACAGACAACGTTGTTTATTCTCAGCTTGTTGGTTGTTTGCTTGGCATGCTCTTTAGCTGCTTGTGTTTTGAGTTTGGAAAAGTCTTCTTTTTTTATTTAATGTTTCATAGAAAATTATTTTGGAATTTCTTTTAGTTTAAAAATGTATCACCATTTAAGAATCTCATGCAATTTTCAATCGCGATCTCATTTTACAAAGCACTAAAATTTTCACGTCTGCGGCCTGCTGTGCCAACTTTCGCCTGCACTTTTAATCATTAAAAAAAAGCGTTTAGTCAGCACACACATCCAGGTATACTATTTCTCGTATTGGCGCTTCCAACTGCCACACATGCACAATTTTCCACATATAGATATATTTGTTTTGTAAACTTTTGAATAATTTTCAAAAACTGCATAAACTTTAAAGAGGCACCACACTGTAAAGCTAGGCAACGCCGGACACACGAAATATTTTATAAAACACGCTCAGGCATTTGCATATAACGTATACGCTCGTTATTAAATATACATATGTACATTTCCACTCATACATAGCACATCCATATGTATGTATTCACATACATAAATGAAAAAAAAATTAAGCACCAGAACGCTGATTCAAAACGCCGACAATAACGATTACGGCGCGCATTCAAGAAATATAAAAAAAGAAACTACAGCGCGTACAACGTCCGTTTTTCACCAGCTTATATCTACGAGTATAACTCTCCAGGAACACTTCAAACCGACTGACTGCCGGTTTGTGCCAGCGAGTGACTTTCAACCGTTGGCTGTTTACTTGTCTGCCTGCTGCCGCTGCCAGCCGTCTCTGTTGCTGCCTCGACAACTGAGTCCATGCCATTGTCAGTCGGCTTGTTGTGGTTGTTGTGCTGCCATCTGGTTTTGTGTTGAGCTACTCCGACTGTTGGCTTTGCTGTTGACGACTCCGCTTGGTGCTCTTGGAAACCCCTATATGCCACCATGCGATGATACGCTCTCCGCCTGCTATGGTACCTTTTACTCAACGCTAGCCGATTGTCGACTTTACTCATTTCATTGACTCCGAATGTTTGTGTTAATGGTGGCAGTAGTGTTAAGCGCTTACTTGCAGCGCTTATATCCGCTCTCGACTTCGTTATTAGTCTGCTGTCTGGTGTATAAGCCGAGCTCCTACCCATACCTGGTTAGTTCGTTTTGGCGGCGCGCTCGCTTATACACTGTCGCACTTTTATTCATATACATACATACCCTGTAGGGAAATTCCCGACTATCCAATTGGTAGGTTTGTGGTACTATGTACCAGCAAAATACTGCGAGCAAAGTTTGAACACACCGGACGCTTTATAAAAGGTCGGTCGCAGAGTCCCTCAAGGAAACACTATTCGAATATAAACCTAGGTAAGGTAGGAGAGCCGCCTCCGTAGGTAAAAGACATAGGACCGATGGAGTAGGATAGAAACAGAGATGGTAGGAACAGAACGACGACACCTACGGCTTCTTATAGGAAAAACGCTCCGTACTCACCACGACCGAAAGGTCACCGGGAGTGTGGAA